GCGACCCCCGCTCGCCTGCACCGCAGCTCCTGGCGTCCTGAGCCGGGGCAGCGCGGAGCCCAGGCCAAGTCGCCCTGCCGCCCTGCCGCAGGCCACGGGAACTTCCCCTACCTGTGCGGGAACCTCGGCGACGTGGTGGTGAGCCCCCTGCTGCACACGTGCTACCAGAACTCCCAGGCCGTGGCCAGGGCCTACGAGCAGCACGGGGCCTCCGCCCTGCAGCCCATCTCCGAGGAGACGCAGCTGCTGCTGACCGTCTACTACCTCGTCCAGCTGGGTGAGTCCCTCCCGCCCTCCCGCGGAGCCCCGGGAGAAGACCGAGGCGGTGCAGCAGCCCGGCCGCCCTGGCCGGCGGGAGTGGACGGGGGCTGATGGCCGGTCAGCACCCGGGGCCTGGGGGTCTGGAAGGGCTTGCGGGCTCCAGAACCTTCCGGGGCCATTCCAGACGGCCGCCTTCCAGCAGGGCTGTGTACTCCGTCTTCGGGCTTTGTCTCCGGGGGGGGGGGGGGGGCCAGCTGTAGAGGATGGGGGTCCGGGGGGGGGGGGCGTGGGGAGCTGGCCCCAGTCACGTTGGGTCAGGAGATGTGACCGCTGAGCAGAGACCTGGGAAGGAACAGCCTTGAGGAGAAGCGGGGTGGACAGCGGGGGCAGGGAGCAGGCTGTTCTGGGAGCAGAGAGGCTGCGCTCTGGGCCCGCCTGCGGGGCCAGGCTCGCTGACCGCCCCCCCCATGGTCCCCTCTTAAAGGGCCCCTCGGTGGGCACCTTTACCCTGGGGGTTGGGGCTTCCACATGGGACCGGGAGGCGGAGTACGGTTCTGTCCACAGCAGCAGGTGATGTCATTCAGGACACCCCTTTGGCTGGACTGTGGGTGGTGCCATCGCAGGAGAGGTGGGTGGGGGCTGGGACTGCTGGCCCAGGGGGGAGACGTGGGGTGTACTTGGAGGGAGATGTGGTCGGGGGGGAAGGGGGCAGGGTTTTGGCCTGAGCAAGCAGGTGCAGTGGTGGGGAAGGATGAGCAGAAGTTCTAGCAGCTTTGAGGGGGAGACGCCCCCGGGGCTGGGCGGCTGGAGTGGAGGGTCTGGGTGCAGACGCGGGCATGGCTGGGTCACTGAGCTGGGAGGCTGGAGTGCCCTGGGTGACTATGGACAGGAGACCCTGCCCGTGGGACCCTCTGACCCTCTGGGACGGGAGGGGCAGATGGAGCAGCCCGGGAGGGGCGGTGCCTGGACGGTGCTGCTGGGGCCGGAAAGGAGCGGACGGCCTCTGCCCTTGCGCCCACCCCACCTGCCCAGGGCCCGGCCCTGAGGCCAGGCTGCCCCCTCGGCCCCGGGGCTTCCCATCACAGTGTCCGCGCTTGCTCCGGGCCCCACAGACAGGCGGGCTCCCCGTCCCAACGCGGCCCCGGAGCTGCTCCCCCAACACCCAGTCTCGGCTCACCCTCCCTGAGAATCCGACGCCGGCCCGTCTCCCGCCGTCCGTCCTCGGGCCGGGCCGGGGCGTCACCGGTGTAGGCGGTTACTCTGCGCCGGCGCCGGCCTCCCCCCAGCTGCGGTGACTCGCGCGGGGTGCGGGGGCTGGCGCTGAAGCCCCGCTTGCCCCGCCAGCGGCCGACCAGGTGCCCCTGATGGAGGACCTGGAGCAGATCTTCCTGCGCTCCTGGCGCGAGGCGCACCTGGCCGAGACGCGGCAGGACCGGCAGGCG